CCAAATTTAATTTGGACGTGGTTGTTTCAGTAAAAACACATATCTTCCCATACGAATAGGTTTGTATTCGCTTCTGTTATTCCTTTTTATCAACATGTCTACGTTATTGAAAAGAAAACGAGGAATGAACTGAACAGACATATCCGTAAGGTCTGGAAAACCTCTGCCAAACTAAAGAATATTTGGCCTTTCTGTGAGCCATGTGGTTTTTAAGTATGCTAATGTATGACCTATAGAATGAGTACAAAGACCTTAGGAATAAGCGCAAGAAAAAGGGATGACTTGGGTGGGACGCGTTACCGCGTCACAATGTCCCACGAGGTGCGCAAAGTGGGACGCGTTACCGCGTCACGCTGTCGTCAACGTGTTAATGATATTCAATATATTGCCATATTTTTATCACTCTCCTTTCTGTTAGTACAATATTTTCATAGTTCCACTGTTTTTCAGTCTTAATGATACAGTCGTTTCTTTTCAGCACGAAATGGAGGACGCTGTCCAATAAGCAAGTGTTCTCAGAAATACTTGGAAAGTCATCATATACAAGTGATTGATAAGGTAGCCTTCATTTATCTATATGCTATTGTGATCCAGTTTTCCTTATGAATTCTGAACACTAGCGAGAAATTCCCCAGGTACACGAGAATTTTCCGGACGCCATCTACTGGTGTTCGCTATGCGATTTTCACATGACAGACATACAGCACGTGCGAACACACTTCGATGCAAATCAACATTTCCCCGAAGAGCAGGTTATTCATTTTTATACACTTCGAGTATAGTATATTTGGAGGTCCGACAGTATTAGAAAATTAAATTAGTACCTCCCTTTATAATGTTTATGCCATTATAGTCATAACGTTGTAGAGTTTCTAAGTTCTGTTCCCCTATAATTAGTTTTCTTTAATATTATGAAGGTCCATCGGTATCTTGAAACTTAGCTTTTTCAGCGGATCAATGAAAGGAAGGATTTGCTTGAAAGAATGCCTCCGATGTCCGACAATCAATTAAAGGCCATCAATATATTAATTGCACAGATGCTTCAAGACAAGTCTGAGGTGCTCAGTTGCATCTAGAATTATTGACTGTAAAGGCAAAATAAAGTCCATTGTTTTTAAAGAATGGTCGAGGTCCGTTGTGGCAACAACATATGGAGGTAGCGACAAAGATGAGCGACATTCTGAATCGTCACGTGTTTGAGAAGATGGGTGTTACAGGTTAGTAATTTTAATTTTGGATGTGATTGATTTTTAAGTAAAAATTGAAAAGCAGAAGTGGTGGTGCAAGTGCATTCCTCACTACGGCTTTCTCATTTATACGTGTTACACATGAACATCCTCTTGTTTTTGTTTCATCTTGCAACCTAATTCAGGACAAGTGGCGGTTTATGGTTCTGTGTTAACAAGAACCTGCATTGAAAACAGTGATTTGAACGTGGCTATTGATATTCCAGCTGTAGATTGTAGTGACGCTGTTGAGACAATGAAATCTGTGGCAGATCACCTAAAAGTGGCTCCTGGTCAGTATCATAACAACTTTTTCTCAATATTACGGTAAAATATTACGGTACTATAATTAATTTTGCTATTACGTTTGTACAATCTGTATTCTGCACAGACGCTGTAGTTCCATATGGTGAAATAGGTTTTCTCGGATTTTTTATTCGGCTAGCTTCGAGTTTTTGCTGTGATTCTGAACTCCTAGTGCGAAACTTTAGGAAATTGCTCAGATGAAGAGTGATATGGAATCCTTGATAAATTTAGATGTGCTCGACG